GAAGAGCCTTTAAATGCTTTTTTTCTTCTGATGCCAGCAAAAACTTTTTGTGTGTGTTTGTGGGGGTGGGGGTTGCTTTGTTTTATTTATTTATTTTTGATTGAAGTATAGCCCATTTACAGTATTGTGTTAATTTCTGGTACAGCATAGCAATTCATTTATATGTATATAAATAAATATATTTCTTGTCATATTCTTTTTCATTATTGGCCATTATAAGATATTGAATATAGTCCCCTGCACTATACAGTAGGACTTTGTTGTTTATCTTTTATATATAATAGTTCATGCCTGCAAATCCCCAACTCCCAGTTTATCCCTCCCAGCCCCTTTGCCCCCTGGTAACCATAAGTTTGTTTTCTATGTCTGTGAGTCTGTCTCTGTTTTGTAAATAAGTTCATTTGTATCTTGTTTTTTTTCTCCTACACAACAGTGTAAGAGGGTTCCCTTTTCTCCACAACCTCTCCAGCATTTATCCTTTCTGGACTTTTTAACGATGGCCATTGTGACCGGTGTGAGGTGATACCTGATTGTAGTTTTAATTTGTAAATCCTCTTTAAAAAAAAAAATGGAGGTACTGGGGATTGAACCCAGGACCTGGTGCATGCTGAGCATGCACTCTACACTGAGCTCTACCCATCCTTCCACCCCTAGGTTTCTTTTTGCCAACTATTTTGAAGAGACTCGGAAACTCTAGAATTTTTTTTAGAACATGCATTTTCGCCCCAGCCCACTAATAGTTCTAAACCGACAATTTTCTGAGAAGTTCACCTCACCTCCGCACACCAGTTTCCTCATGTCCTAGGGTAACTGGCCTCAAATTCCATTCTAGGGTTTGTCATCAGTCTGTAGGGCCAATATGTGCTTTGACCTTGGACAGTCATTCAATTTTCTCTGCACGTCAATTTTCTGCTGTAAAATAGGGCAAATTGGATCTATTAAATCACAGGTAAATCCCTTGGAACAGAACTTGGTACGTAGTAAGCCATCAATAAATATTCCTATCATCATTATGACTATTATAAGCCCCACATGAACCCCAACATGCAGCAGGGCTGAGTCTCAGGCCATAGCTAAGATATGCAAAAAATGTAACTTGCTTTATTTTTCCCCAAGTCTACTGAGTTTCTATTTTGTGTGCCCATTGCACTGGGTGGCAGAAACTTCATTCCAACTAATTCCAGGTAAACTCACATAATTTCGAGTCTTCCTCTTTCTAGGGTGTGCCTCTCTCCGGGGCCTTTGCCGGGTTCTAACGGTCTGGCATCTGGCCAGCTGTTGGCTGAGGTCATCCTAGATGGTCCCAGGCCAGCAACCCACCCAGGTCCCTGCAGTGGAACTGCCTCCCCAGGGAGTCCAGCTTAGCTCCAGGTCTACTGCCTGGGGAGAGGCATAGCAGAGAACCCCTCTAAGAGAAGTCAGCTTCCTTTATGAGTTCAGGGGGAGGCTATGTTTTCAGATTCCTGTACCACGTGTTTCTCATTACTGGCAATTTAGTTTTTACCCAATGCCCTTTACCAAAGCCAACCAGGAGACATCCATTCTATATCCCAGGGAAGGGTTATTACATCAGAGAAGCAGAGGAAATACGTCTTGGAAGCTCAAACATCTGAGCTTTTCAGAATCAAAAGCCTGGCCTTGAAAGAGTCACAGCATTGGGTTTATGCCAAAAACACCAGGTTGGATAGAATAGGGGGTGATGGTGAAAGTCAGGTTTTCCAAGCTGAACTGAGATACCGAATCTCTAAGTTAGAAGGAAAAAGGAGAGCTAGAAAGGAAACAGGTAAATTAGACTCTGGAGGTGGGGGCGGCCAACCATATCGGTTAACACCCAAACTGGGACACTTTAGAAAGACAAAGTGCTAGGAATTACTAGGCTGGGGCCACAGGCACAAACCAGGACTGTCCCAGGCAAACGGGCACAGAAGGACATATGTTCACTCTGCGTAGGGTCCCTCTCCCCACTTCTAGCCCAAGACCAAGTGGAGAGACTATGGATATGTTGGGGAATCAGAGGAGAGCTCCCAGGGCTCCCCAGCTGGCGTGATTCAGCTGGATGTCTGCAAAGTACGACTCACAAAGGGGTGGGATAAGCCTAATGCAATTCCCCACACGCCTACCTGTCAAGGAAGCACAGCCAAGTGTTTCTTTGCCCCAAGAAGTCAGTAGCAGTTGAGAAAGAGCCAGGCCTGGAGAGGCCACAGGGCAGACACATGCAGAAGATGAGCGCCCTGCAGGGGGCCCACAAGGGCAGAGGACCAGCACCCCCCTGTCTTCTACTATGAGCAGTGCTGGGGTGGGGGAGGGGACCCCCTCAAAGCCACACATGTGCTGGATGGGGATCCCCTCCTATGACTGAGACTTCGCTTTGAGTGCCAGGCAGTGGGGGGACCTGATTTAGAAGTGCAGTGGTTATGAATGCTGGGACATAATCTTGAACATCCGAGATGCTGACCAGAGATGCACTTCACGATGAAACAGAAGAGCCGAATCAGTTTTGGGTTCTTGCAACTTTTAACTAAAAGTCCCTCATTTTTCAAAGACTGCCTTGTGCCTAGTCTTCCAGGGCATCCCACTGTATAGACATACCCTCCCCCCCTTTAAAATGCGTTAGGTTTTATATTGTTCTGAAGTGGAAAAATCCTCATCAGTTTTACAAAGCAAAGCATGGACCAACATATAGACTATGGTATCACATATGGAAACACACGTTTACACACGCTCCCCAAATCTATACATAAGAATCTCTATTTAAGGGGAGAGGGTATAGCTCAAGTGGTAGAGTGCATGCTTAGCATGCCTGAGGTCCTGGGTTCAATCCCCACTACCTCCTCTAAAAATAGTAAATAAACAAATAAACCTAATTACCTGTCCCCTGCCAGGAAAAAAAAAAAGGAAGAAGGAAAAAGAACCTCTGTTTGTACATAGCTGGCAATAAAGATCTGGAAAGATATTTGCCAAATTGAAAACAACAGTTACCTCTGAGGCAAGGACTCCCATTAGGAGACTGAAAGTTAAGGTGGACATTTTCACTTTATAGGTACTGTTCAAAAAAGTTTTTTTAAACAGCAAGAATATATTCAAGTATTCCTTGTGTTATCTATTTTTAAAAATTGTCCCCTTGTAGCAGCCAGGAAACAGATGGTACAAATTAGGATAATTTGAGGAGAGTTTAATTAAGGGACAATTATAAAAGTATGGGTAGGGTTCAGGAGAACCACTTAGGGGAGTAATGTTACCACCCAAAACCCAAAGGGATGAGGGAGAGGGAGCTATGAGAACCCAGGAGAGTTACATAGTGAGGTTTCCTGGGGGAGCGCTTAGGATGCAGCCCATCTGAGGAGTTAGGAATTCAATTCTCCACCTTCCCTCCAGTCATGTGCTGGAGGTCCCCCTTGGCCAGATCCAGTAGGAAGCCCCAGAGAACAAAGGAACCTGATGTAGTTCATACAGGGAGGCTCCTGGGGCAGAGAGCTGAGAACCAAGGGGTAGAGGGTGGATTTGAAGGAGTGAAAGGAAGGTAACAAGCACACAGCCATCCTTCTTTGACAACCACTGGGGAAAACAGGGGAAAGTATCTAGACTGATATAGACCACCAGGTCATCTCCGAGTGCAAGGATAATGAATCAATTCAGTTTCTTCCTCTTGCTGATTCGTATTTTCTAGTTTTTCTATAATAAACACTGCTGTAAGTTTGTAAAAGTTATGGCTACTTGAGAAATTGCTAGTAGTCAGGTGACAATGGCAAATATGAAAGTCAAACACTGAGGTGGAGGTACCTCTGATTAACTGAAGATTGCAGAAAAGGGAACAGTTAAGAGTTGAGTATGTCAAATTTGAGGCTCCTCTTGAGTATTAGAAAAAGATCTTTGATAGGAAAAGGTTGGTTGTTAAACAGTGCTGGCATAATTGTCTAATCACTTGAAAAAACTAAAAAATTGGAACCCCCTGCTTCAAACTATATGCAAAAATAAGTTTCAGATGTATTAAAGGTCAACATATAAGCATGGAAACACTACGGGAAAATTTAGGAGAAGACAGAAGCTTTGTGTGGGAGAGGCCAAAAAAGAAGAGACCGACGTATTTGATGACACAGCAATCAGACACTTACCTAAAGCGAGAAAAACCATTAACAAAGTCATAAGACAATACACCATGAGGTACATGGACAGGTATAATAACTACTGTTTTAGTATACAAAGGGCTCTCCTCATTGATTAAAAAAAAGGACAAGTCATTAAATGTTCAGATGTGTATAAATTTCACATTTTAGGGCAAGACAAGAAAAACCTAAACATAAAACAATTTTCCTCTGCCTTCTGGCCTCCTCTCTCCCCGCATTCTCCCTGGTACCACGCACTGTGTGTCTGCATTCTGCATCGACCACACCTCCTTCTCAGCAGAAAGACCTTCTCAGCCATTAAGAGTGATGTTCTCCCAGCATCAGCCAGACAAATCCTTAAAGATAACATTCCTTCTCCACCTTGTTAGGGGTCACGATGACCATCACTTCGTGCTTACAGATCTGGATCACGTAAACTGTCAATAAAGTGCCATCTAATGTACAGCCCTGTGTCTCAAAAAATTTACGTAACTGTGTTTTGACTTTGAATGGGCAGAACAGTTTTCGCAGGTTTCTAGGGGGTTGTTCCCAGGTTACAGTCCTCAAATTTGGCTCAAGTAAAAATTTCCATTTCTTTCATAGATTTATTAATTTTTCCTTGACATGTGCCTGAATAAATGTCACCTCACCCCCTTTCTGATCTGAATTCTGAACAAATTAAGATATACTACAAAGAGCAGGGCAGACTGGAGCCAAAAACCACCTTTAGGATGGAGTAGTGGCTTACGGAGAAGGCATGGTCTGCGTGAGAGTGAAATGTCCTCCTAACACCGACGTGAGACTCCCACACCACGCGGACCTGTCACAGCAGCGCTGCCACAGGAGGGAAGGGACGAGGTGATCAGGGACCATCTGAACTCCCCTCATTTTCTCAGACAGGTCACGTGGGCAGAGAAGAGCAGGGGGAGAGAGGAGAGAAGGTCCACCCCCCTCACCGGGACTGGACCACCCAGAGCGGGGAGAATGCCTTCTCTGCTAACAACTCCTGTGAATAAGAAAGTTACATTAGGTGAGAGGAAGATACCAAAGGAAGGGAGGGAGGAAGAAGGGGAATGGAGATCAGGGGAGGAAGAGGATGAACCTCCCCAGTGTGTGTATTCATGTGGCGGAAATGATAATGTAGAAGCTTCCTCACAGGGGAAGACTGAAACCTGGAGGGCGAGAGCGCTCACTTTCTCTTCACAAATTGGCATATTGTTCAATTTGTTCTGTGCAGAATGGCTGTGATTTTTTAAGAATCTCGAAAGTGAAGAAGCTGTAGAGTTCCTTTACTAGAAAAGGGGGAGTGTTACTTTCGTCAAAGGCCAATGGCGTGGAGAGATCAAGTGCAGAAGAATGGAACCTTGACTTTCCCCTAGGAGGTTCTTAGATGTTGGCATTAACAAGGGCAGCTGGGAGTCTGATGTGGCCCCGAGTCTGGTTGGGGTGATGGGAGGTGATGTAGGCAGTAAATGAACATGGCGTTTTCAAAGAACTGGCAGCGGAAAAGGAAAAATGATGACATGGCAGCTGGAGAGAAACAAGGCATTGGGGACAGATTTTGTTCTATGACAGGAGAGATGTGGTCCATTTATCTGCAGTGGAGAAGGTGACAACACAGAGGGAGGAAGAAGGTTCCATGGGCAAGGTCTAGATGAGATGGACAGGGAGAAATCTTGGCTTCTAAAGGAGGTGGGAAGGAAGCCAGGTGAGTGCAGGTACAGGTAAGCACGTGAGTGAGAAGGGAAGACAGTTTCTGGTCAGTTGGAAGGTGGGGTCAACGAGAGAGTTCAGGATTCAGAATAAGAGCGGACAGTCTGACTCAAGCTGGAGATTTCATTTCTCCACTTTGGTAGAACCAGTGCAAAACATGTGTGTGTCTTACTGATAGGAGCGGTGGGGGTCCAGAACCCATGGAAGAAGATGATTCACCTGGAATCTAGTCTGAAGAGAAAAAGAAAAAAGCTTCTTCCTATATAGAGCACTATACTATTGTAGTAACTGCCCATTTTCCACCACCAGCCCCCATTAAAGTGTAAAGAATCACCTCCATCCTCAGAGAGTAGGGACGAGGTGGCATGTGGTAATTATTTGGTAAATAACTGTCCACTGAACAAGGGGTAAAAAAGAAGGGTTAAAAAAATCTTTTCTATAAGAAAGAAGAAACACAATGGGATTCAATTTAATGAGAGTCAACAAATAATGGGCATCTCGGGGGGAGGGTGTAGCTCATGCGGTAGAGCGTATGCTTAGCATGCACAAGGTCCTGGGTTCAATCCTCAGTACCTCCTCTAAAAATAAATAAACCTAATTACCTCCCCCCACCAAAAAACAAGCCAAAACAACAAACAAACAAACAAACAAAACCAAATATGGGCATCTCCTTTCTATACTGAAGGCACCAGGCAAACCACAGCATACAAGCAGATGAAGTCCTGACCCTACAGAGCCTGGACTGGAGCAATAAAGCGGCGAACATGAGGCTATGATCAGAGGTTGATGTATGAAACTTAAGTTTTGGAGGTGGGGCTGCTTTAGGACAACTCTGTCCAACTATCTCTTGATTAATGATCAGAACTGCCAGAGCCAGATGAGGACAAGAAGAAAGTTCCAGCCTGAGGTTATGGCAGGGAGAAGAGTATAGAGCAGGCAGGGGCAGGGAGGAGGAATGCCAGAGGTGCAGGTGGGAAAACAATGCAGCATATAATGACTAAAAGCATAAGTTTCGATTCAGACCTGGATTTAAAGTCTGACTCTTCCTCTAAGACAGAAGTAAGTTAATCTCCAAGACAGTATTTCTCAGCTGAGGGTAATTTTGCCCCCTAGGGAGTATTTGGCAATGTCTGGAGATATTTCTGATTGTCCCAACCCTGTGGGAGGAGAGTGGGATGCTACCGACATCCAGTGGGTTAAGGCCAGGGCTGCTGCTCACCAGCCTACAGTGCACAGGACAGCCCAGAACAAGAATTATCTGGTGCCGAATACTAATAATGCCAAGGATGAGAAACGCTGCTTCAAGACTTAACTGTAGTGGGGAGGGTATAGCTCAGTGGTAGAGTGCATGCCTAGCATGCACGAAGTCCTGGGTTCAATCCCCAGCACCTCCATCAAAAAATAAATAAGTAAGTAAACCTAATTACCTCCCCCTAACCTGCCAAAAAAAAAACTTACCTGTAAAACTGTCTTAGTGATACCATGCTTTTCTTGTGAGAATTAAATGATTTAATGTATATCAAATACCTGTGTTATTGGATTAGAATATTTAATGTATATCAAATACTTGTGTTACCAGATCAGAATACCCAGACGCTGAGACATGGAGGTTTGCAGCAAAGAGATTAGTCACAAGACAGATGAATCTTGGAGCCACCTCGCTGAAGGCAACGGGATTGGAAATAGGTGTGATAATCCACATTCTGCTCAGGCATAACTCAGCCACTGGCCTCTGAACTTTTAAAAGGTCGTCCAGTGGAAACCCACGCATGCCCACTTGAAGGATCAGTGGTCCTATCCAGTCTTAACAGGCTCAGCTCACACCAGACACAGCTGATACCAAGTTCCTAGAAAACAACTCGAGCAAACATCTTACTGTTTAAGCTATGTCCTGCTTGAAGGACATGCAAGTCTTTTGCAGTAACAATTAAAATGACTTTGATTTGGTTACAGGTGAAATGGATTTAACCAGTGACTATCCATGGTTTCATCTGCCATACAGCATATATTAAGAATGAGAATAAGAAAAAAATGAGGAGGAACACTAAAGTGGAGAGGGGAAGACGCTGAAGACATATTTCCCATTGCGATTTTTGGATCAAGCATTCATTTGCAGGGCATGGAAAGCCATCTTTTGCATTGATTACTGATCATAATATGACCCGGCACTGGATTTGCTGTAGATCTGAAGTAAAACCCCGCAGGAGCAAACTGGTATCAGCTAAGACCCCAAAACCATCAGTGTTGAGAAGGTTCACCCCCATGAGAAGAAAGAGGAAACCTTTCAGGGTTGTAATTGGAAGAGTCGCAGGGTTTAGGGGAGGCCAGTTTTACCTGAATCCAACAAAATGGTGTAGTCTGTATTTAATATTGGAATTGGGAGAAGAGGAGTTGCCTCTAGTTTTTTTCTTTTTTTCTTCTTCTTTCACTTTTACAGTTGCAAAATATTATCAACTCAAATCTGAGAGGAAAAAAAACTGAAAGTATTTGTTGAACAAATCAAAGTGCTTCAATTTTTATTTAAATTTGTGTCTTTTAAATCTTTATGTAAATCATTCTATGATCTTTATAGGGTAAAAAAAAATTGTGACAAAAAGAAAAAACACGTAATCCAATCAATCAAAAATAATTATAATGTCCTTATCAAGCATTCCTTCAGGTATTTTCTGTGCATACATAACATTATGTACACCTTTTAAATAAAATCAGATCGTCTCAATCAAAAACTTTGTAACAGTTTTTAAATTTAATACTACATCTTAAATAGTTTTCAGTATCTTTGTTTCCATCTGTATTAGCTTGTCAAAATATAAAGTTTTTTTTTCTGAATTATGAAAAGAATAACCACTAAATGTAAAAGAAATACAAGCAATATGGAAGCATATAGAAAAAAAAGGAAATTGGCATAAACACCCAAAGAACAGAAAGTTCAGAGGTAGGATGGGCTCAGCAGTGTCATGAAGACACTAGAGTCACATGTAAATCATTGAAGTTAGAACACTCCCTCATACCATACACAAAAATAACCTCAAAATGGCTTGAAGATTTAAACATAAGACAAGACACTATAAACCTCTTAGAAGGAAACATAGGCAAAACATTTTCTGACATAAATCTTAGCAATGTTCTCTTAGGGCAGTCTACCCAGGCAATAGATATAAAAGCCAAAATAAACATACAAGATCTAATTAAACTTATAAGCTTTTGCACAGCAAAGGAAACTATAAACAAAACGAGAAGACAACCTACAGAATTGGAGAAAATATTTGCAAATGATATGATTGACAAGGGTTTAATTTCCAGAATATAAAACAGATCATACAACTCAATAACAACAACAAAACAAAACAAAACAAAACAAAACAAAACAAACCCAATCCAAAAATGGGGAGAAGACCTAAACAAACATTTCTCCAGTGAAGACATACAAGTGGCCAATAGGCAAATGAAAAAATGTTCAATATCGTTAATTATCAGAGATCAAATCAAAACTACACTGAGGTATCTATCACCTCATACCAGTCAGAATGGCCATCACTAAAAAGTGCACAAATGACAAATTTTGGAGAGGGTGTAGAGAAAAGGGAACCCTCCTACACTGTTGGTGGGAATGTAGTTTGGTGCAACCATTATGGAAAACAATACAGAGATTCCTCAAAAAACTAAAAGTAGACTTACCATATGATCCAGCAATCCCATCCCTGGGCATATATCCAGAGGAAAATCTAATTTGAAAAAAATACACGCACCCAAACATTCATAGCAGCACTATTTATAATAGCCATGACATGGAAACAACCTAAATGTCCATCAACAGATGACTGGATAAAGAAGTTGTGGTCTATTTATACAATGGAATACTACTCAGTGACAATAAAGAATAAAATAATGCCAGTTGCAGCAACTTAGATGGACCTGGAGATTGTCATACTAAGTGAAGCCAGAAAGAGAAAGAAAAATACTATATGATATCACTTACATGTAAAATCTATACAAATGCCACAAACGAACATATTTACAGAACAGAAACAGATTTGCAGACATAGAAACAAACTATGGTTACCAGAGTGGGAAAGGGCCATGGAGGGATACACTGGGAGTTGGGGATACTAATTACTATATATATATAGAACAGATAAACAAGGTCCTACTATATAGCACAGGGAACTATATTCAATACCTTGTCATAGCCCATAATGAAAAAATATGAAAAGGAATATATACGTACAACTGAATCACTATGCTGTACACCAAAAATTAACACATTTCAATTTAAAAAAAAAAAAAGACAAGACACCAGAGGCTTTCTGTTTGTCACCTCTCCTCTGCTGTTTACTGGCTTCATCTACAAGCTTGTTCTCCTCATAGTCACTAGACGGCTGCCAGTGGCAACCAAGGCTATGTGGTCCCTTCTTTATGTCCCCCTGCCATGGAATATAAGCTTGTTCTTTCAATTTAATTACATCGACCTGTGCCATATGTTCTCCCTGACCAATAAGTCACCAGAGCAATCTTATTCACTGACGAGCTGGGACTGGTGGGTACACAGAGCCTGGAGATGGGGTCAGTTTGTTCTGAATGCATGGCTATGTGGAGAAGGGTGGACACCTAAACCAGTGGGAATTCCATCAGGAAAGAGGGAAGAAGGATGCATGGTTACCTAAGCGGTCGGCAGTGTTCACACTTCCCTGGCGATCCAAGTGCCTATAGTCTTTCCTATCTGTTGATTTCAAACAATATTCACAGCTTCATAAAGCGCACTTAGCCTCTCCCCAGAGGGAGGCAATGAGGAGTCTTCCAGCCACTGCATACACTGTGAAGTCCTGGATTTCTGCGAGGTCTGCAGTCCTTACCATTCTGTTATTTTGATCAAATGTCTGTTTTTAACTTACTTAAGCATAGAAGCAGTTTTCTGAAATTTTCTTCCAAAGTGAGCCTTTTCTTTATCTTAGGCATTTTGACCTCCTGTAACAAAGAACAAGCCTGACTCCATATTGAATCTGTTCCTAACCTTCGTGCTCTGTTGCCTGTGCTCAGTCATGCTGGCTCTGCACTTTTGTAAAAGAATATTGCCTATAGCCTGAAATACACAGGAGAGACATTCTCAAGGCTCTGACTTTTAAAAGTAAAACACTTTTCCATTCACAGAGAGTTAAAAAGTTGCAGAACCAAAAAACAATTGTCTTGTTGGAGGATTATAGCAACGTTGTGACCAGATCTATGTGGATAGCTGCAAGAACAAAGGATTCTGACACCAAGAAGTTTGCAACAGCCACAGCCCCTCCCCTTTTAGTATAAAAGACGCCTAAGATGGTTCTCTGGGACACTAGCCTACCACCTTCTTGCTCTGCTGGCTTTCTGAATAAAATTGCTACCCCTTGCCCCAATAACTCATCTCTCCGTTTATTGTCCTGTCTTCTGGTGAGCAGCGTGCACTTGGACTTGGTAACACTCCTTTCCTCCTCTTCCTTTTTTTTTTTTTTTTTTGGTGGAGGGGCAGAATTATCACACAGACCCCAAACTGGGTTTCTTACTTCGTCATTTTGAACTAGCGGCCATTCTACTTGGACTGCTATTCACCCCCAAATAATACCCACCTAGTCTTTTTGCTCATCTCCCTGTTTGCCTGAACACAACCTGCATCCTCCCTGCAGAGCGTGAGGGAGGTGGGGCACGTATTAGCATCATATGAGTCTGTGGATCCCAAAGCTGCCTGAGAAGAGTTGGGAGGGGAGCAGTTCTATGAGCCATCAAAGCTGGGAACAATTTTCACATTCATTTTACTTTTAATTTGATTGAAACCCTTTTCTAGAGGTTCTATCCAGTGAATAGAGAGCCCACCCTGTCCCATGGATGGTGGTGGGTCTGGAGGTTTGGGTTTATCTCCCCTCTCTGGCTGTTCGAAGCTGGAGGCAGAGCCCAGCAGAGCCTTGTGACCACCTTGCCTGGTGTGGCCTCGGGCACTGTCCCCCACCCAGCCTGCTCTTCACAGCTGCTGGCTCCTCAGAGGAAACTGCTGCTAGCTGCTCATTTCTGGCCTCTCTCCCACCACCAAGACCTTTGACTGATGTTTGGCTTTCTGTGAGGAAAAAGGGCCCCGGGTGGAACATTCCAGATCTTTTTTCCTGCCAACTCAGGCCCCCATTTCCTGTCCCTCTGAAGTGAGAGGAATTTTTAGTGGGATTTTTCAGAATTTCTGCCTCTTCTCACCACGTCGTGCAGTTCACTCCAAAAAGGGCGTTGTGGGTTGATTCCCAGAATTTTGTATCCATTTAGGCTCAATTGTTTTGTGTTTTGGATGTATCAGATGTTTTGTATTTAGATTTCTATTTCCTGAAGTCTGTGGTATGAGGTTGGGAAATTTTCCTAGATTCGTTGTTGGATGGTGTTTTGTTTGGTGGATCTTGTTTTATTCATTCCATTACTGGAAGCAGATTTTTGTAAACCTGCTAATACATCCCTGTCTTTTATCTGGATGCCCGAGAAACATTTCACGGTTATATAGCATCCCAGTGCCATGGATGAAGCCAAATGTCCTTAACCAGTTTCCAACTGGCAAACATTAAGGTGATTTCCAACTTTTCATCATTATAAAATTGCTGCCAAAACTGCACATAATATGTATGCATATCTCTGGTGATTTCTTTAGTAAATCATCACATTTTTCAATACTGCTAAGGAGTTCAGCTGTTTTGCCCCTGCTCAGCATTGTCTTGGTTTTGCAGTTTAGTGGTTCTAAATAAAACCATCATGAACACTCTTTGCCATATTGTGCAACAATCTCAGCACCTTCTCTTTCCGCCAGACCATATGTTGGCCCAGATACGCTAATCCCTCCAGCCAGCAACATGATTGGTCCACTAGGGATGTACATTACCCTCGTCCCCTCTCTTCCCAAAATGTACACCCTCTCACGGTCCATGCATCCTCCACAGCCTCTCACAATATACTTCTGCATACTCTCTTTTCATTTTCAGATGTTTTTCTCCACACACTTCTGAAGTCTGGGTTCCATTTCTACCAAGGCTTTTGTCTTGTGAAGACCAGTGAGATAGAAGTAATAGCCATCTGCTCCTTAGTACTCTACTCCTCAAAATAAAATCTCTCGCACACCCTCACACATGCAGAAGCCCTGGTGTATTACTGTTGGAGGGCAGAAACCGACACTCTTGTGTTTATCAAACTGTGAAGACCACTGGACCAAACCCCTCAGAGGCGCCCATTTTAAAATCCAGATTCCTAGACAGTGCTTCAGGTCTACTGATTAAAAAATCCCTAGGGGTAGGGATGAGGAATCTCTGCTTTACTGAGCTCCCTAATGATTCTGCAAATTATTAAACCGTGAAAACTTCCATAATGTGTGAGGATTCTCATATCACAGCTCAACTCTGCCCCAGGTGACACAGAAACTCCCTTCCTACGTCTCTGTTTAAAAAAAATTTTTAGAGAAATTTGGGGAGGGGGTAATTAGGTTTACTTATTTATTTTTAGAGGAGGTGCTGAGGATTGAACCCAGGACTTTATGTATGCTAAGCACACGCTCTGCCACTTGAGCTATACCCTCCCCGCCATCGTGCCTTTCAAATTAAAAATTCTATTAATCATGTTTCTAAATTGATGGTAACACGGACTCAACGTACACAGACCCGAAGAGCACAGCGTAGTAGAGATGAGGATCACCGTTACCTGGTACGTCTCCTTCCCAGCCCCTTGCTGTTAGGTCGGG